TGTTTGTTGAGGGACTAATGGTTTCAAAGATAAATAGTTAAGGGGCTTCCACATGGTTATAAGCATTGATTAATACTACCACAACTAAGGGGTGGTAATTTACCTCAATCTCTGCAAGCCCATGGGGATCCCTATTGTGAGAGCGAGGAGGGGAGGAATATTTTTTCTCGTGGGATGAGGACAAGGAGTATTTTCCCCTCGTGAATTTATGTGGGAAATTTTTCTCACCTCGTGAGACTGTAGGGATCCTTATCCCTGCCCAAAATTTAAAATATATATAAATTAATTTTATTTTAAATTTAACCTAACTCAATACATTACAATATATTTTGAGTCCAACCTAATAAAAATTAAATTTAACTCAATTTTACATAACTCAACGCAACCCATATCTAAGTCAAACTCAATTAAATTAAATTGGATTGATCTTTGTTTCTATTTAGAAATTTTATATTTGATTTTATGTTTCGAGAATTTTAATTAATTGTGATTGAATTTTAAAATTTTATTCATTATATTTGAATATTAGTTGATTATATTTAAATAATGAAATTTATATTTTGGTATAGATGAGTGGGAAATGGAGATCCACGTCCCCCACAAAGAATGAAGACCAAGGGCAAAATCTATCTCCTTTCAAAAATTCATGTGGAGATCCCCATCCCTATAAATGGCAAAAACAAGGACAGGGAGGCACTCCCCCATTGTGAGGCCTTATTGCCACCCCTAACTACAAAACCCACTTGGTTATGCCTACAACCAATCATATATATTATATAATAATTGACTAATAGTAGTCTTGATTAATAAATTTGCAAACTGATTAACAAAACTAATGAAAATCAAATGAACAGTTCCCTTGGCAACATGATAACAGATAAAGTGACAATCAACCTTAACATCCTTTATGCGTCATGAAAGATATCATTGTAAGCAATCTATATAGCACTTCAATTATCACAATATAAATTAGTAAAAGAAGGTTGAGGGATCCCATATCTTCAAAAAGCCACTGTAATAAAAGAAGTTCTAATGAAGTATCACTGAGAGTTCTATACTCAGTTTCAATACTAGAATTAAATGGAATAGTTTGTTTCTTACTACATCAAGAGATAAGAGAGTTACTAAGGATAAGACGATAACCAGTAGTAAATCTATGAATA